ATGGAACTTGGAGGAACCAAGTTTCTAGTTAAAGGATGGATAACTGCTGGCAGAGAACAGAGCAAAGGAAGTCCGTGCAAGGAGGTAAAGTACCTGAACCAAGTGTCTCCTCTGTGGAGAAGAAGAGGCAGGGCAAACAAACCAGAGACAATAGCTTAATTCACTCCGGAGGCAGCAGTATACCACTGAGACATTTTTTGGTCAAGATGAAAAGTCATAGCACAGCGACAGACATCATGCCTTTAGAAACAGCCACCCTGATACTGGTTAAGAATGTGCTACAGTGGGTCTGGTGAGAGGGAGGGAAGGTGGACTTGAATGAGAACAGCAGCAGGGGTGGGCCTAAATGGACTGGGATTCTGCAACAGTTTTGTTGTTAAGGGTAAAGAGAACCAACCAACAGCTGTCTAATTGGACCAAAGGTCCACTCAATGGGGGGAGGGGGAACCATGCCTAATACTGAACACCTACCTACCCTGCTTCCTGGAAAAAGTGAGCTCAGGGTCACTGGGAAAGAATCTACTACAGGTATTTTGCTAGATTAATGTAATTCCTTACTACATTCCAAATCTTACCCTTAGACCCACAAGTAAGTGTAGCTGTCAGTGCTCACCAAAGAAGTCCATCTTTATACTAAATGGGGATCATTACAGAAAGCTACAAATGGACACAATGCAGAGATCAGTGGGTCATGGGAGACACACAACTGTCATAGCTCCTGTGTCTGTGGCTCAGGGAACACTGCAGAAGGGAGGGAAAGAGGCAGGAATTCTGCCATGAAACAGTGTCTCCTAGAAATGGCTGCATAAACCAGCCTGGAAGAATGACGATACCAATATGCATATCAAAGTGGAAGGGGGGGAATTTAAATGTGTTCCCAGTGCTACAGCAACTGGTGACTGCTGGGACAAAGCCTCTCCTAGAGAGGAACCCTTATAGGCTGTCCAATGCAGAATGGTCATCCCTGAAACCACACACACACACACACACACACACATACACACACACACACACACACACCCAAAAGTAGACTTAACAGGTTGTTATTTAATTATTTGTGCACACATGTGTGCACTTATATCACCTGAGAGTGGAGACAACATGGAAGGGGCTGGAGGGAGGAAAGGGAAGGAGGAAATGATATAATTCTATTTCAATTGAAAACGTATTTTTAGGAAGTGAGAATGAAGCTAGATAGAGGCAAGTGATCTCTGTGAGTTCATGGTCAGCTTGGTCTACAGAGCTAGTTCAAAGACAGCCAAGCCTACAGAGAAACCCTGTCTTAAAAACCAAAAATCAAAACAAAACAAAAACCACCACCACCACCAGAAGAAAAGAGAGAGAGAGAAGAATGAGGAAGGAGTACAGTAATCTGAGGGGAGGCTGAGGCATTTGCCCATGCCAAAGCTCTGTGATGGAGAACTCCCACTCCTCTGTTGCCGCAGGCCCAAGGGCATGTGGCCCTACCTGGAAAGGCCTAAGGCCTCCAGGAGCTCAGAAATTCTCTAATTCCACTCTGCTCTAATATCCTGACCCACACTTGAGATTCTATCATGTCCATTATCTTCACTGTGCCTCTTTTACACATTTTTTAAAACTCGCTCACTCTTCTCCAGCTTGACTAGCTAGGCCAGGGGGCAGATTCCATGTCTGGTTTTGCTCACTCGCCTAACTTCACTTATGTATTTCTCATTGACTGACTAATGGGACAGAAGTCTTCTAAGTTCCCACAGCAAGAATAAATGTGTATTCATTCTTTACTAGTGTATCATTCCACTGTAGTTTTGTGCAGACATTTTAATAAGATACTCTTAGTATAAAGTTAAGTATAGAATTCTCAGATCTCAGGCACCAGGCTGAATATCCAACTTCTCCGGTTTCTGGTCAGGGTTCTCTTTGGATGATAAAGTCCACATTTAGGGTAACCATTATATTCTAATCAAAGTTCTACCACTGCAACTCTCAGTAAAGGGGCCAGGCCATTGCCAAAGGACTGTTTACACTAGAATGATTTGTATAGTTTGTTATTTACTTCTTTAAACTTTCAACTACTATTTCAACAAGCTATTGCCAAGGCTATTATTGGCTGCTCTCCACAAACTGATAGTATGGGCCTATTGCTGAAGACAACACTAAGATATCTCATTGAACACAGAGAAGCCAAGCCCGGGGAAAATCAAATACTCTTGTTCTGCTAAAGAAAGATAGCAATGAAATGACTCCAAATGACATTCTGTTACATCAGTAGATCAGTGCCTCAATCAGCCATCATCAAAAATGCTTCTTCTTGCAGTAGATGGGAACTAACAGAGACCCACAAGTGGGCGGTATACATAGGGTAAGGGACTTTGGGACACTCAATCCTCAAAGGGATGTCTTTATCAATCTCTCCATTTAGGGCTCAGGGACCTACCTATGCAAAAAGGCTGTAAAAACCAGAGATGATAGAGAATTTTATGGAAACTGCCCCCAGACACAACAGGACCAGTACATATATGAACTCACAGAGACTATGGAAGCAAGCACAGGGCCTGTACAGGTTCAAGCCAGATAGGTCCTCACTGAGACCGGGGAGTGGACACAAGCTCTTACCCCTAACCTAGAAGCTATCTGCAATAGGTACCCAACCGCAAAGGAAACATCAGTCTTCACCAATGGAGTCTCACTGAGTATATTATCCATACTTCAGAGTAGGCTCCATGCCTAGGAGCAAGAGCAGATGGCCAACACAAAACAAACTCAATGGTATTTTTGTAGGTTTTTTGTCTCATATTTGTTCTGTCTTATTGGTCTTTTACTTGTATATTTTACTTGTATGATTTTGTGTTTTTGTGGGTTATCGTGTTCACACATGCATACACCTAGGTGAATTTCTTGGGGTTTTGTTATTCATTCTTTAAAAAGAGAAAGAAAGGGCATGGTGTTGGGTAATAGACAGGCGAGAGGAGGAGGGATTCGGGGAGGGGAACATGTAATCAGACCACAGTGCATTAAAAAAATAAAATAAAAAAAAAAAGGCAAAAAAAAAAAAAAATCTCAGCTACTCTTTCTATGGAAAATAATCCTTCTCTATACAGAATTTTAACAGTGTATTCTTCAATGTTAAAATAAATGGTAAAGTGCTACTTTAAGTAGCTAAGTAAAATTTCATGGTTCGTCAGGAAAAAGATCGTAAATATGTGTGTGTGTGTATGCATGTGTGTATACTTCCACAATTTTTTGGTTTTCTTCAAAAATGAGATACTAATTGAATTTTATTTCAAAATTTGTTTCAGGACATAAAATTTGTAGTAGACAGGAATTGGGAGATTTGTGCTTTTTTTAATCTTATCTCTCATAGTTGGCCATTTCTGCTGGAGAGATCCAAATACAAAAACAATGCACATATGTTAGGATTGGCAAAACAAAACAGACTGTGAACCACTTATATGTCTGTATAGGTACAATAGGAAACACAATGTGCTTGACTGTCCACTCCAGTGTGCATACCTTACTGACTCTTCTCCCAAAACATCCAGTCTAGCCACTCTTCACTACCTCTATCCCAAATTTTACTATCTTTCTTTGAAGTCTATGTCTTACAGGGGTGGTGTGTGTGTGTGTGTGTGTGTGTGTGTGTGTGTGTGTGTGTGTTTATGTTGTCTTAACTGATCCAATGTTTCTTGAACCTGCTATTCCTACTCCTTCTGTCTAGAAGGTTCTTCCCATATCCCCACAGAGCTCAATCCCCTAAAGTTTCTGTTAAGATGGCGTAGAGAGGCTGACATGGCAACATATAAAATAACCCCATCCTTATCTACAATGGTTCCTTCCCATGCCATTCATTACCAATATGGAATATACTTATTATAAGCTTCCTTTCCTAGAATGTAAACTTCTTGGTCAGAGATTTTATTATTATTTTGAGAACTCTTGTATCATCTGTATTTAGCAGATGAGACAGAGTAGATAATCAATAAATGTTTCCAATGACAATTTATTATTAACTGTTCAAGTTAAATATAAGGCAAGAACAAGTTAACTATAGAAGACATTTCATAGTTAACTACTAATTGAACAGCATGTGGCAATTACTGTCACAGAGGAGTATCCATCAACACCACTAGACATATTTCCCACAGTATATGTGACCAGAGCTGACCACAAGAACCAGTAGGTATCAGTATGTTCAAACAGCATTCAATAAAATTCTGTTTTTAAAACTGTGATTAATTTATATGTAACATAAAATTTGTCATTTTAATTCCCACATGATTTTATTTGGCTCATTTCTTTGAAACAATAAGTATGAATTTTATCTGTTCATGGGGGGAGAAGCATTCAAAGGGAGCTTTGAAAAAAGGCATTGCTGCTAGTTTAGAATGCTTAATAGACATTAAACTGAGCCTACTGGAATTAATTCCACTGAAGTCAGAAAATAAAACTTTACTAGCAGAAAACACAGAAAGTATATACGCATACAAGTGGTTATAAAAAGGTCTCCTCCCCTCTGATAAGACAGGAAACAATGAGATCTTAAAAGTTCTTCAGCTATGGCAATACTGCCATGGACTCTATGTTGGCATGCTTCAGAATTACCAAGGCAACTCCCTAAAAGACAGGTAGTGGTCTGTGAACAACCTGCATTCCCATTAGGTTCTTAGGACAGGCCGATAGTGCTGGGACTGGTAAAGGAAACAACTCATAGGCATCCTCTAGCTCCTTCAGGGCCATTAAAAGAAACTGAAATAGTTCACTTTTTGCAAATTCATTACCAATTAAAGCCTTTTAAGAACATTGTACAATCTGGTTTTAAAAGTCAACATGTATTAGGATTGAACTGGTAGGAAAACCTCATGCTTACGACACCCCCGAGATAAATATTCTGAAAATTAACTTGGAAATAATTCCGAGATTGCTTTTTAAAACTTAAAATCCATCCAGACAAAACCAGGGTGCAACAGTTTTAAAGGAACAAACACAGATAAATTCTGATGAGCAGGTGACATAAAGATACCTACATGTATGGAGGCATTCTGTCACCGTCGTCGGCTTGATCAGGTACCCTTTACAGATGTAGCAGGTGATGTAAGGGTTGAAGTCTTTCACCAAGTGTTTCCTTTGGGTAGCCATTCGTGGTTACCTGGCTTCAGCAGTTCAGGCAAAGAGGGGCACTAAGTGGATGCAAAGCTGGTCCCAGTAGCTGGCACAACGTTCTTGGTAGATGTCCTGAGGCATGAGCATGAACATCCAGCCTGAGCACAGACCACTGGTCATCACTCCCTTTCACAGTCCTGCTTTTTCATATCTGTTTCCAAAACCACAGAAAGAAGGCATCAAATTCCTTGGATTACATTTAATATCATTATCAGTGAGCAGAACATCACCTTTATTGTCCAGTTAACCTATAAGTCTATTACAACTTAACTGAGTAACAAATTCACCCAGTTCTGAAGCCTCAATTATTACCGCCACTCACGAACACCCAAAGCTACTGAATCTAGGAGTAGATAGTTGCATGCTGCCAATGCAAAGTACAAAGACTCAAAAGTGAAGTCATTAACCCACCTAGCAAAATGCTCTCTCTTTCTTTCGGCACTCTCCTAGTTAATAGTCAAGTCAAGTTGATGCCCTTATCCTCTCCTCAAAGAGACGCCTGCCACCCTCCAGTCAGGCCAGCTTATATTCTGCTACCATGTTGATTACACCCATTGCAGTCAATGTTTCTCAAAAAAATGTCAGCGCTTCCCCTTCACTAACAGGAAAAAAAAAAAAAAAAAAAAAAGTAACCACACTCCTGGTTGATTTTAACCTTTCCTTCAACACTTCAGGTAGACTGACAGGCTCGTATGTTTCCTCCTGAGAGCTGCATGCTGCTTGTCTCCGCGACTCCCTCTCCAAAGCTGTCCTCAGTGTTATCTCTACTAATGCTCACTTCTCCCTGATTACACTTTCCTTTCATTTTGACTTAAAATTATTCATTCATTCCTGTTTTCCGAGGTTGAGTTTCATATAGTTCAGGCTGGCCTAGAACCCTTGAATTGATCCTCCTGCTTTGGGAGGATCACAGTGCTGGGATTACAGGTATTCACCATTCCCAGTTAACACGGTAACATAGGGCAAACTCAGCACTGAGCATGCTGGGCAAGCACTCTACCAACAATTTATTCTCTATCTCTATTAAGCAGAAAGTTTCAATAGAAACCAGTCACACATAATAGATATATACCCTGGGGAATGTACTTTCTCCAAGTCTCAGATGGCTGTTTATTTTGTTGATTTTTAACTGTAAAATAACAGTAAAAGCTCCAGGTACCTAGAAAGGAGTAATACAACTTGATAGTACACAGTGAAAAACTGAAGAAATGCCATTACTTTTCTTGCAACTTTACGAATAGCTATCTCATTGGGTTATTTGGAGTTTTGCAAGTTCCTTACAAGAAAGATGTGCTTAGAAAACAATGCGAACGAAGATGCTTATGTCACGAAGTTCATTCTACACCAAGCTCATGCTTCAGAAGGGAACTTTTCTCCTATCTTGGCTGTTACATCATAGGCGAGTATAAAATAACTGGAAAGGTCTAGAAGGCATCATTCCGCCAGCACACACCTACTGTGAATGTTCAAGGCATAGGCTCTGAGCATCTATCCCTTCGGGGAAATGGTGTTAAGGATGTGACAGAAGGTGTAATTTAATTAATTGCAATCTGAAGATTCTGGCCTTAGCCCTTCGTGACCTTCAGCAAAGCATTAATATCCCAGCCCGGGTCTCCGCTGTTTTCTCTGCTTTTCCTTACTCCCAGGACTTACTCGTGCGCTCGCGGCAAAACCTGTGGGAAGCGCAGTCCCGATCCCAAGCCCTGTCACCCGAGACTGGGAAAGGAAGCGAGTGCTTGCGGTGTCGCGCGGGCGGCCAGGGGCAACTTTTCCGCGTCGGGAGGCGCGGGTCCCGGAGGTTCAAGCCCTCCCGCCGCTTAGCAGGTGCTCGGCCCGGGAGCCGGGGCCACCCGCGCGGAGACCGCGGGACAGGACAAGTTGTCGCGGGCCGGCCGGGCCGCCCCCGAGCGAGCTCACATCCGAAGCCCCGCACGCCCGCCCCGCCCCCGAGCGGCTCGGGCTCCAGCGCCCGGCGCGGCAGGTGTCTGGGACGCCGCGACCGCCGGCGCAAACTTGGCGCGCGGCCGGGCCGCCCCCGCGCGGTACCTACCCAGCGGCCGCCGCCGCTCCTCAGTCCGCCGGCGCGCCCGCCTCCGAGCCCGGGAAAGCGAAAGAGAAACAGCGCCTGCCGCGGCCTGTCTGCTCCCCGCGCCCTGTCCGCCCTCCCCCAGCAGGCGGGAGCGCGCGGGCTCCACGGGGCCACTCGGCTCTGGCGCGATAGGGCGCGGCGGGCCTCGGGGCCAAGCCGGTGCCGCCTCCAAGGGCAGCTCCACCCACCTCCAACCGCCAGAGCCGTCCGCCCGCCGGCCACGCCCCATCCCACGCCCTTCCTCGTGGGCCCCGCCCCTCTCCGCCGGCCACGCCCTCAGCCCTCGCTGGCTTGCCGGTGCTCCTCCTAGGCGCCTGGGCCACCCAGCCTTCCCTGCCCCCCACCCCTGTCGCTCCCTTGTGACACGTAGCTGTGGCCAAATTTATCTCTGTTCTTCTTATCCTCGTCACCCATCTCCCGCTCGCTTTCATTGTAACAATGACCAGTATGGTTTTTTTTTTTTTTTGTCTTGTTTTTTGTTGTTTTTAGCTGGCGGGGTCAGTGTTGATACTGAGTCACCTCACTAAAATTTCCCCTTGGGTTCAGCGGGTAAAAGCCCTGAGCTCTTGAGTTCAATCCCCAGTACACAAATGCAGGGAGATGAGAATGGACAGAATGACTCCTGCTAAGTTGTCCTCTGACCTCCACAAGGGCAATGTGGCACAAGCACACCCCCACACATCCATCCATACATATATATATATATGAAATCGCTATTGAATTCGTTGCAATAAGGTGGGTCCAGCAGTCATGATCATTGACAAATACAGGTAAGCTAGAAATTTGTGTAGGGGGTGATGATGGTAAGTGGTAAAAATTTATTGCTGTTTGCAAGGTTCTAAACAAATACCCCCCCCCCCCCAGTGCTCTTTCTAGTGGACTTTGAGATAGATTTCCAGCGGAATTCACTGAAGGAAAAGATTTCTTGAAAGGCTTCCTGAATTTCTTCATTCAATCATTTTCTAACGTGTTCCCCAAACTCAAATTCCTACTAATACAACTGTGCTAAGCATTAGCTGGACACCAGGTCATTTCCGTCTTAGAAGACTATACTCCAGGACTGGGTTCTAGGCAAATCAAGGTAGCCTTCACTTACTGACCAAACATAAGGAGCATTTTCCAAAGGGCAAACTGCAAAGACAATCTTGGATCTCACATACCAGAAAGAAACAGGGTTGCAATTCCACCATCTCTTTTGTAAAAGCCAGAGCAAAGGTGGCTAAAGAATTCACAGAGAATGCTGAGCATTTGCATTTATCCCCTACAGACAGGCAGCACCTCTGGCTAGTGACAGAGTGCAGGCACACAGGTGTCCAGAGATACATCTCAAATTTAAAACTCACCAAGTACAACAAGAAACTTTAAAAATTATCCACGTTATAACTAAACTTTGAAAGTAAAACAAACTCATTTGAATATTGCCACAGCAAGAATACATCTTCTGATAGAGCTCTAAGTGATTTCTCTACAACCTTCGTAAAGACCTCTTTGTAAAACTATTATTCCAGGATGGGGTGACTTCCACAAGACACAGCAATCGCAGTATGCAAAAGGAAACAAGTCAGGCCAAGTGACTACAAGCTTCATAGCTTTTGATCTGAACATATCCAGATGGGAAAGGTCAATCTATTTCCAGTCTATTTAGAATATGCAATAAAAGGTTCTATTAAAACATTGCAGGAAAGATCCTGCAGTATACACCGTAGCACATATAAAACGGCCTAAAACTGTTCTAGTTTGTGTCTGAGATTATCTTAAATGTCTTTTTCAGGAGTAACAGTTTGTGTAACTCCAAGTGGAATGAAATTGATGATCAATAAAGGAGCTACCCAGTATTTTCAGAAATGATCTTGACCATGGGTTCAAGGAGGACGTACACTAGCAAAGGAGATAAGGAGGGCTCATACTGTTGTTGCAGGCAGTCGCTGAAGATGGATGTAGAGGTGGAGATGCTGGGGAGCTGGAGTGTGATGGTGGGGCTGAGAGACGGGATGGGGGTCCCATCCTTTGTGAGGAAATCTGTGTTTTGTGTCTCTACACACAGCTCTAGTTGAACAGTGTCTTAGTCATTGTTCTACTGCTGTGAAGAAAAACCATGACCCCAGCAACTTGTCCAAAGGGCAAAGCATTTAACTAGGGGCCAGCTTAAAGCCTCAGAGACTTAGTCCATTATCATCATGGCAGGGAGCATGGCAGCAGGCAGGTGTGGTAGCTAAAAGCTTTACCTTGATTCCTGTAGGCCAACAGAGAGACTGGGCCTGGCAAGTGTTTTTAAAACCTTAAAGCCCACCCCCAGTGGAATGCTTCCTGCCACAAGGCTACATCTCTTAATCTTTCTCATCCTTCTTAAATAGTGCCAATCCTACATGATTAAGCATTCGAAAATATGACTCTATGGGGTCATTCTTAGTCAAACCACCACAGTTTGTGATTTATTCGCTCTCTTCTTTAGCGAACAAATTGATTCTCTTACCCTCAAAAAGCCAAACACACACCCATCAACAACCCCCTCCCCAAATAAAAACCCTCAAACACTAGAGCAATGCTAGGGAAGGTAGCATTCCTCCTGAGTATACACTCTAACCTCTGACTTCATTTTTGTCACACTAGTTCTAGTTGGTATCAATAATAAAAACTCAAGAGACAGATATTGGGGTTAAAGCTGAAGATCAGAGAAGCAGAGTGGTCAGCCACTAGAGTTCTCACCTCTAGCAATGCTCAGACTGAAGGGGTGATCCTGTCCATAGACTGCATCTCCAGACTGCACTGCTCCCCACCAAACCTCAAACTGCACTGAGCTCTTGTCTCCTCCAGCCTTGTATTTCTCTCTGGTGCTAGGAAGAGAGGCATGGGATCCCAAGTGCTGAGATCATCTTCATGTGAGCTGTTTCTCATTTAGACTGGATCAATTTCATGTAGCTCAAGGTGGCCTTGAATTAAGAAATCTGTCTTCCCCTGTCTCCTGAGTGTTGGGATTAAAGGTGTGAGTCACTACTGCCTGGCTTCTATGGCTAACTAGTGTGGCTGCTGGGATTAAAGGTGTGTGCCACCACTGCCTGGCCTCTAAGGCTAACTAATGTGGCTAGCTCTGCACTCTGATCTTCAGGCAAGTTTATTAAATCATAACAAAATATCACCACACTTTTTACAGACACAATACCAACGCCCTGAAAAGGAGCAAACTCACATCACAGCTGATTTGGGTTGCAGCAAGCCTAAAACAAAAATATCAGTTTCCGTTTTGTTTACACCTTTAAGAAATTCTCAAGTACAAGAAGTTATGAGATATTAAACAGAGTAACTTAGAAACAACCCAAAAATGTATGGAGAAATGGGAGGGATAAGCAAGTAACAGCTGCTCTTTTCACCACTAATTAATTAGCAAGTTAATATCAACTGATTTTAATGGTATTACTTTTTTGAAAATTAGGGTGATGTATTTCCCTGAGTATTTACTTGATTGCACTGTGAAACTCTAAGACTGTGTTAATAAAATTTACCTTGGATCAGGGGCCAGAGCCAGGGATTAGCTGACAGAAATTAGCCATAGAGAATATGGAGGAGCCAGGGATATGGACAGAGAGACACAAAGGAAGGAGGGGGGGGAGGGGGCACTTCCGAGACTCAAGGGCCTCTTTGGTTTGAGATGGAAAGAGTGATGCTCTCTTGCTGGGTAGCGGGTTGCTTCACAGCCTCTCTGAGCTAACAGGTTTTCACCCCAGTATCTGATTCCCGAGTAAAGAGGACAATGTGGATAAAAATAACAATTCCTTTTCATCATTTTAAATTGTTTTATGTACTTCAATATAGTCTTTTTTTTTTAACAGTATCTTTAACATATAAGCTGCCTTCTGTAATCTAAATGTCTTTCTATAGAGATTGCAGAAAATATTAAAATTTAATGTAAGTATTCTATTGGGCGCAAGTGCCTTTATGACATAAATATTACAGCCCCAAACCAATGAGTGCCTAGAACTGGTGATGAAGAGCTAGGCGGTTGTGTGCTGAGACGGGAATGAAGCAGAGTCAGCCATCCTTGACTATGCCTCCATTTCTCACTGTGCCTGTTTCCACAACCCAGTAACTGCCAAGGACTCTGCCCGTCCCTCAAACCCCTATCCCTGCCTCCTCGGGTCAGAAGCATCTCTCCCCTTCATACACGCCAGACTCTGACTCAGTGTCCTTCAAAGCTGTTACCCAGTGGTCCTCAGTAGAGCCACAGTCTACAGTGTGCCACATCCTGCCTCCACCTTCAGAAAAGCCCCTGTGTTATTAAGAGAGCTCTAAAACACCTGATAAGGCCACCCCAGGCCCCTGTTATCTCCACAGCCCCCACTATCTTCCATGATGGACCTCCCTGACCTCTGGCTAGCTCAATGGTCTTCTTATAATTTGATGCCTAATCTAATCCCTTCACTCTTTCCTGCCGCTGTTAAGTCTGAACAGTCCTTATGTATTTTCCAGGTATCCACTTATTCTCAAGGACAGTTCCTGGAGATATCCAGAGTTCTGAAGAGCCTTTTCTATGACACAAACCACACATGCATATATATGGCAACACACTTTCTTGCATGTGTCTGCCTGCATGTGTTTTCACCTGTGTAGGTACATGTGTACAAGTATGTACACGCATGTGGAGGCCCAAGGCTGATATTGAGTATGTTCCTTGGTAATTTTCCACTGTATTCACTGAGCCATCTCTCACATTTTTGGTTGTGACCCTAGTCTTTAAACAGCCGAGCCATCTCTCCAGCCCTTGAGCAATATTTTGAAAGGAATCTAGAGATTGCTGATACAATCAATGCATTATCTGTCTCTGACTCCTGAGCACTGGAATTCCAGGTGAGCTAACAGAACTACCCAGAGTTTATGTGGACACAGGATCTGAACTCTGATCCTCATGCTTGCCTGGAAAGTGCTTTATCAGCCCAGTCACCTCCTGAGCCCCAAGGGCCACATTCTTACTCTTTCAAATCACCTATCTCTCTGACTTGGAATGTGGTCTGAATTAGAAGATGAGCCCAGTGCATCTGTATTTGCCCTGGACTATGCACCCCCAGTGCAGGTGACAGCAAACAGCAAACACTCAAAGAAATGTTTATTAAAAAAAAAACAAGAAAAACATGAATAGTTACATTTGAAGACAGAGACTCTATTCTTTCTTTGATTTCTTCTAGGGTGAATCTTA